AGCCGTCATTGTTGTTTGGCGGGTCCGGGCTGGGGATTCGAACCCGCCACCTTAGGTGTACATGGCTGGCGCCTTAGTCGGTTGAGCTATAGGCGCCGAGCCGGGACCTTTATCCTTGTACCCTTCATCTATCTGTAAGGGGTACCAGGTTTCCTAACTTGGAATTGCACATCTGTTTTTTTGGGGTTTATTTTTTTGTGTGTGGGTTTTGGCCGGGGCTAGGTTTGAACCCGCCACCTCCGGCATACGGGGCCGGCACCCTACTCCTTTGAGCCACAGGTGCCGCCCTGCACGTCTGTTGAAAGAAGTCAAGAGTATGCAGCAATGTGACATTGTCACACTTACTGAGGGGTCATGAGTCACCCAGGAACACCCAGGGTCCACTCCAGGCACAATTATATACTTGTGAAACAACAAAAGACTCAATTCTCAGAAACAAATTCAGTGAGTATGTTATGAGTCACGTATGGCTCCAGGGGCATGCAGTGTAAAAATTGATTCTAGCACCACATAAGTTGTATGTAACACACACAGAAAACAATTAAAATTACAGATTTTTTTATTAAGTTAGAAAGGATCATTTTGTTTTCAGAGTTTTTATTCTACGTTCATAATAAAACACTGTGGCTCTAAGAAAATTTTTTTTGCATGTGGCAGTCAAAATGGTAATACATTATAGAAGCAAAGATGCAGATGGGAGATTTTATGGGAACTCAATTTGGCAACTTTTTGGCCTTGTTCAGAACCACCACACCACTGTGGCTTAGTCATTGTCACTGCAGCTCAGTTTCACAAACCAGTGCCACGTCAGAAAGGAGAAAGCACTCGGGTTTTATCCTTAGGAAAATGTGAGAGTGTTCATTTTGTCAGATAATTTTTTTAGTGGCTATAAATAGTTATTTTAACTCAGTAAACTGTCAGCAGATCACTGCTGGTACCACCAGACTGAAATGAAATGGCCCGTGCAGTGCCCTGGTCCTGCCTTCTGGCAGTTTCTTGGGCCATCCTCAAAGGCTGGCTGCATATGCATTTGGAGAAAGGGTGGGGACAAAGGGAGCTGCCCCAGCTGCTCTGCTTGTTGGTCATAGCATCTGGGGCTCTCCCTCAAGCCAGTACCTGTAAGGGCTCCTGCCGTCCTGAGAAAGGCAGCTTCCCACTCAGGTCAGTCTGCTGGTGCTTCCAGAGGGATGTTCCAGTGACCCAGTCCCCGCGTCAGATTCCTAAGAAGGAACATCTCCTATGTTTCTAGTATAACCCGTTCATCTCCACCCATTCATCTTCCCCACAGAATCTATTGTCACTATTATAACTATTTGTTATTTTAAATAGATAACGTTGTTTTTCCCAAAAACTACACTTGAAAGAGTATCATTTATTTGCTAAGGAACAAAGTAGCCATAACCTGTTCTATAGGAATAATAGGAAAACAAACAGACCAAAGAAATCATATTTGACTCATTAAAGAAAAGGAACAGCATAAGTAAGATTATTTTGTCCTCTTAATTCTGTTGTCAGCTGAGTACGGTGGCTCACACCTGTAATCCTAGGACTCTGGGAGGCTGCAGCAGGATTGCCTGAGATCATGAGTTCAAGACCAGCCTGACCAGAGCAAGACCTTGTCTCTAGAAATTTAGCCAGGTGTTGTGGCAGGTGTCTGTAGTCCCAGCTACTTGGGATGCCGAGGCAAGAGAATCTAATCTCTTAAACCCAAGAGTTTGAGGTTGCTGTGAGCTGTGATGCCATGGCACTCTACCGAGGGTGACAAAGTGAGACTGTCTCAAAAAAAAGAAATTCTGTTGGGCAGCATCTGTGGCTCAAAGGAGTAGAACGCTGGCCCCATATGCTGGAGGTGGTGGGTTCAAACCCAGCCCCAGCCAAAAAAAAAGAAAGAAATTCTGTTGTCATTCCCTGTTACTACATGAAAATTTATTAATATTACTGTAAAATGTATACAATTCTTTTCTCACAAGGAATTCATGACATTTTACATGCCTCTATAAAATGGGTGATAACTTAGAAATCCTCATAAGCTGAGTACAGCACTTTCCAGGGCCCTGAAACTGTGCTGCTGTCTCGCTAAAATGATACAATACTGTTGTTATTGCTAATATTGGCATAGTTTTCTTTATGGAAAATTAAGTATTGTTTCGCATTTTTAGAAAGCTGAGAGTAAAGACAATGTTTTATACGTCTTTTTGCCCTTTGAATAGCTGATCAGCATAGAAGGGTAGTGCTACTGAGTGACCGTGTGGTTTAAATGCTCTCAGAAGCCTGATTACACAAAGAGACCCTACAGGAAGGGTCTTCTTCCATAAACTGAAGAATCCTTTCACAATTAAGTAGCCCCTCCTTAATTAACGTTTGTAAAGTCAAATTTATATATTTTTTTATCTTAGAGCAGACCAGTCAGATTAATCTCATGCTTTGATATATAAAATGGAGGTGTAATAAAATAGTAATCCGAGTAAGAAATCTTGCTTTTTACAACCCATGCAGAAGTAATTTAGGTATACAGTAAGTTATGAGATAGTAACAAGAGCCAGAACACTAATTTAGCTTCAGCAGCATTGAAAAAGTGGCTGTAAACTCATTCAAGTTTTCTTGAGTATCTATTCAATAAGACAGGTAAAACAATGCAAACTTGCCTACAAAATTGTTAATTGTGGAAAAAAGCACGAAGCTAAAAATATAAGTCACATTTCTTAATTTGCTTGTATTTTAATCTAAGAACACAGGATTAAAGCTAAATTAAGGAGCATTTGGTTTTTCTGGCAGTGTTTCGTCATTACGATTAGCCTATAAGGATCTCGAAATTCAAATGAAGAAAGATGAAAAGATGAACATTAGTGGCAGAAACAAAGTTCAATCAGAGAGACTTGGCATGGGATTTGGGAATTGCAGAAGGTATGTGAGACTCTGCTTCCATGAAAATTTTGAAATTTCAAAATTTTGTAATATCACCTTTAGGGGTATTTTCTGGATATTCTTTACCTTCTTCAGTTGTTTTTGCTTAACTTAAGTATTCAGTAAAGCATGAAAATTTCCAAACATGGTTCTTAGCAAGAAGAAAGTAGATCCTGGGTCATCATCAAGTACACGCCACAGTGGGTGCCACCAGCATCACCGATACACGTGATTATGTTTTGTGTAATTATAGTCCTCATAAAGATTTAGTATTTTTGGAAACTTGTACACCCCCCCCCAAAATTATTGTTTTATTGCTTACATTTATAACCCCACTAATAAATCTGTCTATGTTCAGAATATATATTACAACATTCATCTTTTGGTGAAACCAAAGTCTTTGTGAACCAGCTCACTAATTCTTTTCCTATTTTACTGTTTTCTCAAGTGGTATTTCACATTCAGTGACTTCAGACATGCAGACCATAGAACAGGAGTCACCCATCATGGCAAAACCAAGAAAAAAGTACTCTGACGACAATGATGATTCATATTTTACTTCCAGCTCAAGGTAATCTATTAAAAATCATTATTTAAGTGTCACTTGGGGCTGGGCGCGGTGACTCACACCTGTAATCCTAGCACTCTGGGAGGCCGAGGTAGAAGAATCGCTTGAGTGAGTACAAGACTAGCCTAAGCAAGAGTGAAACCCTGTCTCTACTAAAAATAGAAAAATTATCTGGGTGTGATGGCGGGCATTTGTAGTCCCAGCTACTACTTAGAAGGCTGAGGCAAAAGGATGGCTTGAACCCAGGAGTTTGAGGTTGCTGTGAGCTAGGCTGATGCCATAGCACTCTAGCCTGGGCAACAGAGTAAGACTCTGCCTTTAAAATTTAAAAAAAAAGTGTCATTTTGAAAAACAGTAAGTAGTATTGACGTATTAGCTTATTCACATCAGGAGCAAGTACAAATCAATTCACTTCATTGTTCTTAAAGGCTTCAGCTGGAGCCAAGACTGTCCCATGTTAAAAAAAAAAAAAAAATTGGGGAAATATTTGTAAATGAGCGGTGTTTGCTAATATTAAAATGTTTGCTAATGGCCAAGGCAGGTGGATTGCCTGAGCTCATGAGTTCCAGACCAGCCTGAGCCAGAGCAAGACCTCGTCTCTAAAAATAGCTGGGCATTGTGTCGGGTGACTGTAGTCCCAGCTACTTGGAAGGCTGAGGCAAGAGAATCACTTAAGCCAAAGCATTTCAGGTTGCTGTGAGCTGTGATGCCACGTACTCTACCAAGAGCAGCATAATGAGACTCTGTCTCAAAAAAAAAAATTGCTAATAAAATCAGCAACTAAATCAAAATTAAAGGCAGGAGAGATGTGTTTATCTAAAAATATGAAATTAGAGAAATCTGAAGACTCAGTCCTCCAGGTATAGATTAAGTTGTTTAGTCCAGCAGAGGAAATAGTTCACAGTTGGGGCCTAGGCTTCAGTAGATTTATTTCAGAGCACCAGCTTCAGGAGGTTCCAACTATCAGGGTGGGGTATTAAACCAGCTCTATTATTGTATGTGGAGAAACACAATTGCAGTTTCAGCGAAGTCTAAGGGGAAAGCCTAGGTCCCTGTCCTTCAGAGAGACACAAAATACATAACTGTGGGATGAAGCCAGCCATTGACACTGGCTCAGGTTCAAGCAGCCTACAGGGGCAGTGAGAGCAAGTTTAAGCTTGAATCTACTCACTTTGTGAAGTTCCGCCATGAGACCTGCTAAAAAAGTACTAAGTGAACCAGGGATTTTAATGGAGGTGAGCATAGATAGAGAACAGAGGAGGAAGAGTGTGAGCCCAGGAGCCAGACGGCCTGTACTTGAGTCCTGTCTCTCCACAGTAACTATGTGACCTGGGCCAAGTTACTTAACCTCTCTGTGCTACAGCTTCTTCATCTGTAAATCAGGGTAAATGCGGTACAGCAAACTTCTTGGAGCATTTAGAATAGTACTTGGCTCTTATTATTCTTATATTTAGCTGCTATTATAGAAACTCAGTTCGAGAGACATTTGACACAGTCACACTGATAATCACATCTGGTTTGGAGTACCAAAAGGTTCCATCACTGACATCTTGGAGAATATTAGAGTTGTCTAGCAGTTATATGGGGTTGGAGGGTTTTCATGCGTATAACAGGTCTTCGATATATTTCCTGTAGAGAGCAGGTATAAATGTAAATATAGTAACTAGAATCTAATTGTGAAATTATGTATTTTCCTATTAGTGTTTATAGATAGGGATTGTATAAAGAGTACTATCCTTAAAAATTTCTCTAAGCATGGGCGGCACCTGTGGCTCAGTGAGTAGGGCACTGGCCCCATATACGGAGGGTGGCAGGTTCAAACCCGGCCCCGGCCAAACTACAACAACAAAAAAAATAGCCGGGCATTGTGGGGATCCCTGTAGTCCCAGCTGTTCAGGAGGCTGAGGCAAGAGAATCGCCTAAGCCCAAGAGCTGAAGGTTGCTGTAGCTGTGATACCACAGCACTCTACTGAGGGCGACAAAGTGAGACTCTCTTAAAAAAAAATTTTTTTTCTCTAAGCGTAGCTCCAAACTGTTTCAAGTCCAAGTATTTTACAAAAAAAAAAAAAAAAATTAGCTCAGTGGTCTTCCATATCAGCACTTTTAGAGACGTGGGTAGTTTTAGGTCTCCCTGTCTCTTATAACCTGTATAATGCACCAAGTTTCACTCTACTCGAGGTTACACCCAAATCATGCCTTTTTAAAGTATTTAAATAGATTTCATGCTGGATTAAATTCGATTTGTAATTTGATTTGGAAATTCATGTAAGTCCAATCATTTTATTTATTTATTTATTTTTAGTAAATCATAGCTGTGTACATTAATACTGTCAGTGTAATGGGGTACAGTGTGCTGTTTTTATATACAATTTGAAATATTTTCATCAAACTGGTTAACATAGCCTTCATGTCATTTTCTTAAGACATTTATATTCTAATTTTAGAAAGATTCACATGTACCCTTATAAGATGAACCATAGGCGTGATCCCACCAATCACCCTCCCTCCACCCATCCTCCTCCCTCCCCTATCCTCCCTTTCCCTTTTCCCCATATTCTTGGGCTATAAAGGAGGATTTCAAACTTGACTGAGCCTGGGTCAGAGGGACTCTTGTAATGCAGGTCCTGCGCTTGGCTGTATGGCCTCCTCAGCACCTCTGTGTCTCTGCTCATTAGTGACTGAGGCAGAAGAGACAGCGACTCCATTAAATTAGTACTGGTGCCTGTTAGCCGGGCTGGTTGGGAAAGGGGCTCCACTGGGGTCACCTGCCGAGTGGAACTTCCAGAGATCCTTACTGGCTGCAGGTCACCAGCTGTTCCTGTGGGGCTTTCTCTGCCTTATAGGTGCGTCAATAATCTTTTAAGTTCCTCTTTCTTCCAAGGCTTAGTTTAAAGCAGCAGTTCTCAACCTGTGGGTCGCAACCCCTTTGTAACAACGAAAATGCATCACGGCATTAGGAAGGTTGAGAACCACTGGTTTAAAGGGTTAGCCCAGCATGGCACCTGTGGCTCAAAGGAGTAGGGCACCGGCCCCATATACCGGAGGTGGTGGGTTCAAACCTGGCCCCAGCCAAAAACTGCAAAAAAATAAAAATAAAATAATTAAAGGGTTAGCCCAAAAGGCCTTTGTTGCTATGAAACAGTTATTTATAGTTTGAAGCCAGGGAGCAGAACAGATGGTCTTTTTACATAGACCTCACTTCTGGACTCTTGCCAGAGAGACCTTGGTGAACAGTTCATCGTGGCCTGCAGGTTGTTCAGTAGGAACGTAAATGCCTTCCCCAGCTTTCCCTGGTAGGACAAGGGTGCCATTAGGTCCTTTGGCAACTGAGGTAAAATCAACACGGACTCTCTGAAAGCAAGCGTATCAGTTCTATGAAGAGCTCTTACTGCTTCCAAATTATTCATTAGCCCATTAGAACTTGAATATTTATGAATTATGAAAGAGTTCTGCTTCTATTAAAACTAAGATCAAGAGGCCAAGGCACAACCACTGCTGCAGCCGGCCAGCCTGGCGGAGAGGCAGCTGCTTGGGAGCCCCGGCGAGCAGCCTGGTCAAGGTGGCTGGAGTCTTAACCACCTGATCAAAAAGTTGTTTTCCAGTCCTGTTTGGCTGGATTGCACCCTCCAGCTCTGCACCTGTCACTGTGGTGGTGACCCGGACGTTGACTGGTTTTGGCATCTTCAGTTCCTGATGGGTTTCCTCAGTCCCCTGGAAACACACCTCTCCAGCAGTAGCCTTGGGTGTCCCCACCTGGGCTTGGCTTTTACTTCAGGAGGGACCCAGAGGCAGAGTGGGAAGAGGAAGGTTGCACAGCAGGTGTGTGGGCAGGTTCAACTCCATCTGCCTGCCACATCACCCCCTACCAGGCAGCCCCTCGGGGCTTGTGAGCGGCTGCCCCTCCACTGAGCCATAGTAGTGGTCTTATGGTACTTTGGCCTCCAGTATGTGGGTAATAAAGGATTTCCTACCAGACTGAAACTAGATAAAAAGGTATCTGCCTAGGAGGTCAGGAAGGAGAATCCCCTCCAGTTCAAGTTCTGGGCCAAGTTCTACCCTGAAGATGTGTGTGAGGAGCTCATTCAGGACCTCACCCAGAAGCTCTTCTTCCCAGCGAAGGAGGGAATCCTCAGTGACGAAATTTACTCTACCCCCTCCCCCCTAAGACCTCAGTGTCCCTGGGGTCCTACGCTGTGCAGGCCAAGTTTGGGGACTATACCAAAGAGGTACACAAGGTCGGGTACCTCAGCTCAGAGGCTAATCCCCAAAAAGTTATGGACCAGCACAAACTCACCAGAGACCAGTGGGAGGACCAGATCCAGGTGTGGCTCGCTGAGCACCATGAGCTGCTCAAGGACTGTGCTGTGCTAGGGTAGCTCAAGATTGCTCAGGACCTGAAAATGTATGGGATCAATTATTTTGAGATCAAAAATAAGAAAGGAACAGACCTCTGGGTTGGAGTTGATGCTCTTGGACTAAATATTTATGAGAAGGATGTTAAGTTGACCTCAAAGATTGGCTTCCCTTAGAGTGAAATCAGGAATATCTCTTTCAATGGCAAAAAGTTTGTCATTAGGCTCATCGCCAAGAAGGCACCTGACTTTATGTTCTGTGCCCCGCGCCTGAGGATCAACAAGCACATCCTGCAGTGGTGCCTGGGGAGCCACAAGCTCTACACGCACCGCTGGAAGCCCGACACCGTCCAGGTGCAGCAGATGAAGGCCCAGGCCTGCGAGGAGAAGCACTAGAAGCAGCAGCAGTTGGAAACAAAAGAAAAGCAGAAACTGTTGAGAAAGAGAGAGAGAACAGATGATGCGTGAGAAGAAGGAGCTAATGCTCAGGCTGCAGGACTACAAGGAGAAAACCAGAAAGGTAGAGACAGAACTCTCCAACCAAGCCAATTCAGAGAGCCTTGTAGCTGGTAAAGGAGAGGAAGTGGGCTCAGGAGGAGGCCGAGTTCCTAGAGGCTGACCGCAGAGCTGGCAGAGTACATCACCAAGATT